AGCGATGTGTGTCCGTTGTGGCAGAAAACTGAGGAGGACGCGGCTCTCGGCCAAGTGTCTGTGCATTATTCATGCTGCTTGTAAATTGGCCAGCTGCAGTCTGCTCAAGAGAAATTGCTCCGACTTTGAAACACACGTCCTCTTCCCACACAGCGGGGCTCTCAAGCTGCAGGTTTTCAGAGGCATTGTTCCACACAAACCACGGTTTCATTTTGTTTCCTTATCATCTATAGTTCTTCTGCGGTGCTGCTCTGTTTTCCTCCTCGCTATATATCAGATTGAATTATACAGTATGCACAGAATGCAGTATCCCACCTGTTCACTCATGTATCGCCCATAATGTGTGCACTATGTTTTTCTCAATTTCTTCCTCCGGTAAATGTATGGATCTGCCAGAGGGCGTAATGCAATTGTGAATTATTGGGACTTAGGTAACTCTTTTATATTGCTGCCAAGCCCAAACATGTTTTGGAGCGGAACCCAATAAAGCCGCAGTGATTTATGAACTCCGCTTTTTCACAGGTCGGCCATTCATTGCCTATTTCTTTGTTTTCACCAAAGCAATCTTGGAAATGGCACATCTGTAAAGTGATAAGGGGAATGTTGATGATGATTTTTGCATGCGGCCCGAGGAGAGGAAAACAAATTGATGCCATTATACTGAATGGAAATTGCCGCTGCATGTGAGAATGAATTTCAAACAATAGCTCTGTTTTGTTTTTTTAAATCTCTCCTCTTCTTCCCCCCTTCTCTCGCTCTCCTCTTCCTCTCGTATCTTTAGATAACAAATACGCCCCTGCAGTGAGTCTAAACGGTTTTATATTCATCCTGGGAGGAGCCTACGCCCGAGCCACCACTATCTATGATCCGGACAAAGGCAACATCAAGGCCGGGCCCAACATGAATCACTCCAGGCAGTTCTGCAGGTAACATATTATTAATGAAGCTGCGCCACATATAACTCAAACCCCCCAGCAATGGAACTGTAACCATGTTTTCAAAAGCCCAAAGCATTTGTTGAAGCTTCAAAAACACACAGCCTCAAAAAGATGTCAAACTCAACTGTATTAGTTATCAGTCTTTGTGTGGAAGCGCAGGTTAGCGGCTGCACACGGAAGTGTTTTTAAGGAAGTTAATTCAAAACGGAACAAAACCAGTCGTGAGCTGACAGTTTTCAATGAGTTGTTTTGGTAGATAAACTTTTCCGTGGCAGAATCATGGCTTTAAATTGATGGTCTTGATTTTCAAAATGGCTTGATAAGTAAAGCCTTTGTAACAATTCACATCAAATATCAGAAGCTCTGCTAGATTTAATCAACATTCTTTCAAAGCAGTGAATCGCTCAGTTTTATCCTGATTTCCAGTAAAGCTAAGACTTAGCATGTGTTCTAAAACGGATCCACACCTGTAACCTTCACACCACTTGTGGGCACATAATGGCTTATAGAGGGAGATAAATGAAAAGGAACGACAGCATCCCAGTCAGCTGGAGCCACTGAGCTGTGCAGCTGGATAATGAACCCACTCCTTTATGGGCCAAAGTGCTTGTTTTCTCTTTTCCTGCAGAAGCAGAGAAAGAGAAGCATGCACACAAAATGCATTCAGGAAGCAATTACAGGCGGGGATCTTATGTGCAGAATGTGTAACATAAATCACATTGTCAGAGTTATTGATAAGCTGCAGCAGCACAAGCCAGGCAGCTGTTCTGCTGCATTTAACTGAGTCTGACAGGAGAGAGGGGGAGCAGGGAGCAGCAGCAACACACACACACACTCAGAGACTATCTGCACATGAGATGAAGTCCAGCAGGTCATCGTGCAGGAGAGCTGATATACTCCCTCCGCTGCGTCCGGCCCTCCGCAGGCCCCCCCCCCTCCCTCCCCTCTGTTTATCAGGAAGAGCAGCTCCAGGCTTTGCCCCTGTGCTCTCTCTCCATTTTGGGATGAGCTGTGCTTCCTCTCTGAGTAGATTTAGGCTTTATGTAATAATCTGTTTCCTCCCCAGCAGTGTGCAGTAGGACGGCATGCTGCTGGCTCTGTGTGTATTTGAGCGTGCACCTTATGTAAATGCAGATCGCTCCAAACCCCAATAGGAGCACAAAGCCCTAATCAGCTTACAGCCCAAGTTTTAATCCTCTCCGCACACAAACTCCTGTTTCTGTTTCTCCTATCAAATGAGCACATTTGTAGAAATATTTGCTTTTTCATTCGTTTTTATTTTTCTTCTCTCGCCCTCAAGAGGGAACGTTACGTTTTCCCCCCCCTCTCTACCTTACAAAGTATCCTTGTTGGGCAAGTCGTGAGCAAGCGTAAGTGATGTCAAACAAAATCAAACGCAGCTCTACAATCAGCGTGTTTGTGGATGTGTTGTCTCCTATCTGGCTTTGTTTGTCTCATCACGATTGACAATGAGAGCAATATTCCTGCGTGCTGAGTCACAGATATCTCATATCACCGCCAAATTAGCTCACACTTGCGTTCACCTACTTATCTCCCCGACACTGATTATCTCTCGCTATTAATTGTTCCTAACCGTGAGGGCTTTTAATAGGAAGCAGCAGCCGTAGGAAATGTTGGGTCTGCATAAGCTGCATACAGACGTAAGAGAGGGAACAGTTAGAGCTGGGGTAGGCACTATGTTGGGCAGAAAACCCATCATTTGTAATTGAAATGTTACCCCAGGGTAGGCAGTATTCTGGAAGAGGTTAGTATGTTTCTCTTTGGGGTTGCTTTGCATTTAAGGAAGTTGTTGCCGTGCTGGTATAGCAACCTTTCCTGTAGGATATTCCATTGTTGAAACCGGCTGTAATTGGCCAAATTCTCCTCTCACTGTATAAAGTTTCTAACAGTCTAGTTTTCTCTCACACCACTTGAATTCAAATATGCTTGAAGATATTATGAGAAATAAAAACTGCCTACACCAGATTAAGGACTCAGGCTCCTACCAATGAGAAAAATAATGGATTCAATACCAACATACTGACCATGAGTGGTTTCAAAAACACTTCGATCATCTACAATCTATCTCTTTGAATTAATACAAATCTTGAAAGTCACACAAGAAGCTGTTTTTGTGTGTTCTGTGAATACAAGAATGCAGCACCTCAGCTTAGCACTAACACTGGACAGAGAGCCTGTGTTGTAATTGATAACAAACTCCACCTGGCATACTCTCTGCTGTTCAACTTATATCTTGCTCAATTTGTTTATTCAAGCACATTTAATAATATATATATTTATGCCACAACAAGTAACTTCTGAAATTGCCACTGATAGCCAAGCAACTGGTCAGATTTAAAACGTTCTGTTGATTGAGACATAACCCCAAAATTGAGTAAAATCTTAACAAATAAGAAATGATAGAATGTACTTATTATTGCGCTTTAGAGGTGATGGTAGGTAGTTGTGTTACCATTTGACAGAGGCAGGCTAGCTGTTAACCCCAGGTTAAAGTGTGTGTGCTAAGCTAACTAGCTAATGGATACGACTCCATATTTAAAGGACCCTAACACCCCACCTCACACCCATGTGTCTCTTCCTGTGCAGCGCTGTGATCCTGGACGGGAAGATCTACGCCACCGGAGGCATCGTGAGCAGCGAGGGTCCGGCTCTGGGCAACATGGAGACCTTTGACCCCTGCTCCAACACGTGGACGCTGCTGCAGTCCCTGCCCTGCCCGCTCTTCAGGCACGGCTGTGTGGTCATCAAGAAGTACATCCAGAGCAGCTGAGTGGGCTGGGACCCCGACTCACGGGGTCCACGGCAACCAGCTGAGCTCCGGCCGGGGGGCAACGTGCGACGGCAGCTTGGGGGCGGGGGCCGGTCTGACGACGACCTCTGGACGCCAGCACCCACCCACTCTGTCTCCTGTCCCTCCACCCAAAAAAAAGCCCTGTGCAGAATGTACTCATGTTCAGCTACTCAGCCATGTCAGGTGACCTAACCTCCAGTACTGTATGTGTCATGGTAGTAGTTCATCCTCTCATCCAACAGGCACAGGGACCCTCTTAGTAAACTACAAAAAAATAGATTTCTTTTTTGTTCTGTCTTTTCCAGATCTCCATGAACTCACCATGTTTTTCTTTACTAGGAGCCATTGTTGGTCCAGATTTCTGTTCCTTTTTGAGAATTCTGTTTGACAGATGTACGTTTTACAGTCAATAGAGCAGAGTTCCTGTGGGGGTATGAATGTCTTTTCAGTAGGGACATCTAAAGGACACGAGGAAAAGTAAAGGAATCCAACAACTGCTTTCCTCTGTTTCGGGAAGCGGAATGCCTACATCCAGTGTGGATTTATGAGGTAATTTTGGAAACAGATTTTGAACTCTCTGTGTAACTCTGGGGAAACATAGGAAAAACCATAAAATCTGGGTCATGTAGAGTTTACAAGAGGAACACTTTATTTGATCTGCATTCTTGTGAAATTCCAGCTGGATTGAGATAACATCTGGGAGGTGAGTGGCCTGTTTGCCCCTTAATTCACACTCTGGGATAAAGACAAAGACATTGAGAGAGGGAATTGCCCCTTCCGCTGACCTCTGATCAGATGATCTAGAAAAAAAGCACAATATCACCTGTGACTGTTATCATTTGATCCATGTTTGATGTCTTCATCAGTTTGCCCCTGCCCCCTTCTCTTTGTTTTATACAACGTGTTCCATTGCAACCCTTGAGATTTTGGGGTTGGTATTCTGTAAATACAGGAAGGAAAATGTATATTTTGAAACCTGAAGGCAATTCTGTATAAATGTTTTTAGAAAAAAAAAAATTAGGTTGGATTCAAAATGGTATGTCTGTAAATCTGTACCCAAAAAGGAGAAATTAACAATTGTTATTATTGAAACCTAATACATATACCAGAACATGAACACTTTGTTGAGTCTTTTTTTTGTATACTGTATTAATGACTGAAGGGTAAGATCAGTGCTCCACTCAATACAGCTTATTAACAGAAATGTTCTGTATTTCGAAAACAGTAAGAAATATCAACATTTGAAAGAATCAGCTTGCACCTTTTATTCAAGTATCACAGCAGTTTATTTGAGAAATACAGTAAAAGTTTCATTTAAAATAATAACTTACACTAAAGTAACAATTTCGAACAGGCGTGGTAAATACACACAGAACAGAATAGACAAAGGTATGGAAAGTCTCGACTAAAATTAAGTGTGAAACAATAGGCAAGAACAAAGTATTTCAGGATAGAACAAACCCTTCCTTCTGCATACTGGACTAAGCAGTCTCAACTACCAGACAAAAATTGGTTGTTAGTCCAAACTGGCTACAATTTTTTAATAAGAAAGGAAGATCACAATGTATGACATTTAACTACCCATATTTTTATTTCCATGTGTGTTTCTAAATTCCTTAAAAAATAACTCTTGGCAGAAAGTGGAGACAAGTGAACAACATTTAAAGAACTCTGGTCCTTTTTCTCTTCCTGGGATCTACTAGACGGATGCAATGTTTTTAAATATCCGTCCTCTTCCCGTATGCCAAACAGTCCGTAACCACTTTAACGAAGAAAACAGCGGAACAATTAAATAAATAGAAACGTTGCAAGGGCATGTTGTCGCGTGTTGAACCTGAGTGACCTGTAAACCTTTTATTCCCCCGCACACGGCAAATAAAACCTGCTACACAAACGCTTCGCAATTCAACAACAATTGTTAAAACAGACGCGCAACGCTTCCCCGATTCATTACATTTCAAACGTACAAAAAGACAGTTGACTGAATTAGGTGTGAAACGTGTTTTTTAATAAATAATCTGAATCATGAGATGAAAATCTGCACCAAGAAAATGCTGAATTTAATATAAAGGCCATGGTTGTGTGAGGAGGAAAGAGATGTAGCTTCTAACAAAGTCTGGGTGTGATTGTTCTGAAAGAGGAGAGAGATCTATGTTATCTCCTCAGAGTCTAGGAACGGTACAAATTAAACTAAAGCTTATAATACAGTCCACAAAATTACAATGTATGCAATCATCTGGCTCAAATGCAAACATAGTGAACAATGGGAGAGATATGAGGAACTCTTGGATTACTGCAGGGCCGTGCTTTCACTGATCTGGTACTGGAGATGTTGCAACAGTATTTCGGGGGGGGGGGGGGGGGGGAGAAACACTGATTTTGTACCCAGTAAACGGTTGTCGCATTAAAATAAATTAAGCTGAGGTAGCGTTGGTTTTTCTCTCTGCAGTAGTCCAAGTGCTAACCTGTGGTTGCCAGTTTGCATATGCTCTTTGTTGTTGTCACCTAGAGTCTGAGAGAAGGCAGAGAGCTTGAGGTGAGTTGGAGGGCCGGACCAGAGTGAAGGAAGTCTGCACCTGCTCACAATATGGCATCTCCAAAAACCATGACAATGCCATGAAAACATTATAAAGCTTCAGTAAATATCTTCATTTACTGCAGTCAGAGAAACAACTACTGTGTTGGCCACAGATCAGAATCCAGCTTCTCTTGTCTGGTGTCGAGAAAAACTGACAATGAATTCCATAAAGTCGGAAAGAAAGCCATTTGAAAAGGAGGGGGAAAATAAACCGTGTAATGCTTTATACAACTTAGTGACGGCACTGCCTAGAGTGGCCTTGTTCATTATGGGTTGCAAAATGTCGACTCAAGCAAAGCATTTATACCAACCAAAAAAAAAACCCGTACAAAAGTATTATCAAATATACAACATAACATAACACATAGGTTGTTGTGACCATGTAATAGAACATTTTCATAGTTAACAAAAATTATATGAACAGGTTATTTGAGCACCTTCTTTTAAGTGAGTGGGGTCAAACTTGGCACCGTAAATCGTCTGACTAGCATCATCATTTTTGCATATGGAAAACTGAAGAGAAGCTGGTGGTGTCAACCTGTCCTACACCTGCTGTCCGCTCAGGTGGAGACTGCTCTGGGTTTGTAACAGGGCATGAATACATTTAAATATTGAAACATGTCAAGTGCCTGAGATGCGTCTGGCCAGACTCATCCACCAAAGGTAAGTGTTATCTAAAACTCCTTTTGTGTTCAGATGTTTTAAAGTTTGGTTTTTCAGTTGGAGATGTAACCTAGATTTGATTTTAAACAACCTAATGGTATTTAAATATATATATATTTTTTTTTGCTTCAAGGTCACTGACCTCAGTGGTTAGGACCTAACCCCAAATTGGAGCCTGTTCATTGTCACAAGTAAATAAAAAATCCTGCTAAATATATCAGAGTTTTAATATAAGGGGTTTTACATAAGGCACACGCTAGGCAGTGCAAACTCTAGACGCATTCCAATTTGTACTGCTTCCAGTTCCTCAGCCGGGGGGGTCGGAGGGAAACATTCAGACTGTGAATGCTAGTGAGGAGGAGGAAGAGGAGGGGTGTGGAGCTACCACAAACTATTTAGGACATGACAATCTGCTGCGAGTGTGAATGCCAGAGGCGGGGTACACGAGAGGTGGTGCAGCTGACCTGGTCACCAGTCAGTCTGAGACAGAAACTGTGAGGGGGGGGGGGGGGGGGGTGGTCTCCACCGGGGCCGCTGTAATGAAGAGGACATAATCGGCTCTAGTCCCGCTGCGCTAACCTCATCCAGTTTTGTTCACACTCAAACTATTGTTCTGGGGTGAGTATCCTTGACGGTGGCTCAGGTATTGAATTCATCAAGTAGCTAAAATGACGGAAAAAGATGAGCCGCGTAATAGCACAGTAACTACTGGCCTATGACGAAGCATTTCACTGGGGGGTTTGGGGGGGGAGGGCTCAGCAATGTGGTCCATTGATTCAGAACATTATCTGTCCTCATCTCCTAGCGGGACTCTGCATTCACACTTTCTGCTGGTGAGGGTCCGGGTGAGTGTGTGCATTCCGGCTGTGTTTGTTGAAGTACATGCAAGAGTCAGGGTGAGGGTGTGTGTGTGTGTGTGTGTGTGTGTATGTGTGTGTGTGAGTGTGTTGCACGGCCTGCTGCAGGAGAGAAGCAGCCTCCAGGTGACACCACCCGATCTGTTGGCTTTTGCTCGTCATCAAAGTTAAGAAGTAATCCCAAAGAGCAGTGTGGATGAAAGTTAGGATAGCACCCGAGTAGCACCAGGGTCGACCGTCGTGTGTGTGTGTGTGTGTGTGTGTGTGTGTGTGTGTGTGTGTGTGTGTGTGTGTGTGTGTGTGTGTGTGTGTGTGTGTGTGTGTGTGTGTGTGTGTGTGTGTGTGTGTGTGTGTGTGTGTGTGTGTGATGGTCTGGATCTGGCCAGGTTCCTGAGACGATAGCACCATTGAATGTCCTCAACATCGTCCTCGTGTTTCTCCTCCCGGCAAGAAGAGGGCGCTGGATTCTTGTGTGTGTGTCTCTGTGTGTGTGTGTGTCTTTGTGGTCCCAGGCTGATATGGTATCCTCTCCGTCTCACAGGAATGTATCAAAATGCTGGATTTTCCCCTCCATCTCCTGCAACACACACACACATCAAAAGATATTGCTTAGTCTCAACGCTGCAAACTCAGATGTGTGCAGAAAGCATCTGTGCGCCGTGGTTTCAATATTACTTGGATATTTCCCACAGCAAACAACAGCTTTCACCATGATAAATGATGTAAAAGGAAGCAAAGCTGTGCTGGAATGAGACAGGCCATTTCTCTCAGCGTGAAAACAGCAGAGTTTGACACTGACTAAATCTGAGCCGAGCCAGAGGAAGAGAGATGGATGTTAGCCGGCAATAGACCATGATTAATGCCTTGAAGATGTTCCACTGTGTGTGTTCCCTCATCTGTTTGGCTGAGTCAGTGCGACAGACGCACATTTCAACATCTACAACAGAAGATAAAAACTTTACAGTAAAAAGCTATTCTTTCTCTTCTAAAGAGTTTAACTTTTCCTTATTTACTGAAAACTTTAGAACCCAACACCATAATGACAACAGACACCATTTCCTCAGACAGAGAAGAAGTGCTGTAACGCCTTGCATGCAAATGACTAGAAAGCAATAAGCCTGAAATTATGAGTCAATCATATTTTATTCGATCTTGATAATTAAATAATTTATTGTTTTGTTAAACAAAAAAGATATGTTTAAAGGGGCCCTATGATGCTCATTTCAAGTACATTATATATGATTTATATATTTGTATTATTTATTTTCTGGTTTTCTTAATCTTTACTAAAATAATAGAATCAAATTGAGACATCAAGGTTGTGGATTTTTAGTTGGTCAAAAACAAGCAAAGTAAATGTGTCATGTCGGAATGGAATTGTGAAATTATTATTTCACTATTTGATATTTTGGGGAATACAAGTTAAATTGAGGGAAAAAACGGATATTTCCAGAATTGTCATCAGCATTTAAATGTTTGATTTAGAAAGATGTCCAAAAAGGTATTCATTATAAGTTCCTAACAAAGATCAGCTTAGAAATGCTCTTGAAAGTCTACCTCAAAGCCTTTTTAATTCACAAGCTAATTTCTTAAAATCAATGTCAAATATCATCCTCATGTTCACACACAATGTTCGAGTGGTGCTGAGGGAGTCGCTGTTAACTGAAGAGTGCATTGTGGCCAGCTGTTCATTTGGTGATCTAGATATAATGAAAACTATAGCCAATGTGTTCTGAATGGATTTAAAAAGGTCACAGGACGGATGTTACTCCGCACGTCATTTTAACTTCCCTTGCAACTCCAATTATAACATCAACAAAGCTCTTTATCATCATGCCCCCCCCCCACCCCACACACAACCATCGGCACCAGGTCACACAGGCTGTAAAACCCAACTGTATGAAAAGTGGAGCTGAGGAATAAAAAGTCACTAGTTTGGAGAATTCCCTGAAAGTTTTTGCTCATCAGGCACAGCCCGTATTTAGACACATCTATGCCACCCGTCTGTTGTTGTGTTACGCTGTACGCCCACACACCGCCGCGCAGATAAGCTCTTTCCCTCCCTGCACCTGTGTGATCTCGAGTTGATCTGCCAGGAGGCCTATCACCTTGTCATCCCGAAAAACCCAACAACAACAACAACAAGTCTCTGCAGCACCTCTGTCTCACTGATAAAGTTCTGTAGCGCTCTCTAGCAAGTCCACCAGCGCACCCAGGTTTAATTCCTGTGTCGCTCATTAGCTCCAGCATGGCAGAATTGTAGATTTAGGAGTTTAATTTCCCGATGGCACCATCAATACAATGCATTAAAAGAAAATCCAGCATCACCGCTGTCGAGATGTCTTCAATTTGTGACAAAGGTGTGATGAATTACTTTGGTGTACATGCCTCTTTTGAACCGGTCTCATCTACTTCCGCCTCAGTTACTGATTTCCTTTATTTCCCAGATCGAATTTCCTACAGCCCCTAGGAGAGGGTAAGGGTTCCCTGCGGTGTGTGCGTGCAGGTAAAGAGAGCCAGAACAACAACATAGTACATTTGTATCCTCACAAAAGAGAGAGTCGAGAGAACAATCTGGTGTATTGTGCCTGGATATGAGTGTTTTTTTCTCAAGCTACTGACAACGCTTTCACACAATGATGAGAGATTGGGCTGCAATGCTTTCGGTTCTACACAGCCTTCTGTCGTAGAGAAACTCAATTCTCTGCCAGATTATTTTGTCTTCATATGACAACAACATTGGCACACAATGTCTTGAGATAATGCCTCAAACGATCCCATTGACTAACATCAAGGCAAGATGTTTGTCATGACTAAATTAAAGAGTACACAGTGTTACTGCTGGGAAAACAGCAAGACCAAAGCAAATGGACCAAGAATCCAAGTAGTATGTACAAATCAACACCTCCACTAGTGGTGCTTCCAATATAAAAAAGATGGCCTGCATGCTCTTGAATGAACAAATAAGCAGAGAAATAACCAATGTGTGATGTTCCGCTAAGTCGGCCAGCGGCATGCACAGCTGCAGAATCACACGGACGCAGGTTAAAGGTCTTCAGCTCGTACAAAGTCTTAAATTGCTGTCTGAGGAACAAGGTAATTGTATTACTAGTTCTAGGGTGATATGAATGCCAATTTGTAGATAGGAACACAGTTGGTGTGTTTTGTGTACAGGGCAGAGAAGGTCCCTCTGGCTTTAACTGGAGGCAGGGTGTAGTCCGCTCCATCTGCTGAAAGGTCAGCTCTCTGGAAGACGGAGACAAGCCGTACCCAGAGGAGGGCGGGGGGGGGCAGAGTAAAGGAGACAAATGTATGGACACGCTCCATTTCACTCGTCTCTACAAAGTAGACACAAACACCATGCGCTGCAACATTAAGTGGGAATGGCTCCAGCCGCCATACTGAGTATCACCCAGCAACAGGTCTGTGAGCGCATGTTTCTGCATTCCCTGGTGAGGAACAGGGAGATGACCTGCTGTGTGTTCGTGTGCTGCAAACACAGGCAAACAAAACACGTGCCAAACAGGCTGACATTTCTGCTCTGAAACACCAATTTAGGCTGGCAGGATAAGATGAACCCAGACACACGCCCCCCCCCCCCCCCCTCCTCCACAGACAGGCGGCACCACCTGGCTCACTGCCCTGCCCCCTCCCCCCCTCCCACTTCCTCCCCCTGACATCCTGACAGGCAGTCCTAGCTTCCAGCACCAGGACCGCCATTTCTGGCCTGCTGTCTGAACTGACATCTTACAGCAGCAGCAAATGACCAGATGGGATTCTGGGAAAAAATACAGCAGCTCTTTTTTTAGACGGAACATTGTCAAAAAGACCTTAAATTAAGGGTTAAGTTGACACTTGCTTTTAAAGGGGACCTATCATGCAAAATGCACTTTTTTATGTCTTTTATACATAAATATGTGTCCCCGGTGTTTCAGGGAACTCACACAGCGTCAGAAAATAAAACCCTCTCTCCTTTCCTCCATACCCAAATCTCTAAAAACGGGGGTACAACGGAGCTGATCCAGATTTGCGTCCAATATGACGTAATATCGGCAACGTGGGCTGGCTTTACACACACGGCCCTATCAGAAACGTTGCTATCAGAAACAATGCCCGACTGTTTTGGACGTAATATGGTCTTTGTTTACATTAGCAAGCATCGCTAACACTCAGAGCTATCCTGTACTGGAGAGAGCAGTGGCGAGCCGTCTGTGAGGGACTAGTTATTTTTGGTAAAACTAATGAAAAATGTAACAAAAAAAATATATAAAAAATAATATTTGAAAACATTAAAAAAAAAAAAATTATTTTTAAATATAATTTTTTATATATTTTTTTTGTTACATTTTTCATTAGTTTTACCAATATAACTTGATTTAATTGTATTTAAAATAACATTTCCAAATAAATAAATCCTTAGAATCTGCCTGTTCAGTTTCTGTTGGAATGTGAAGGGTTAAATGCCGTCTCTGCGAGTTACTGTGAAGACGGGAGAGCTTGTTGGTCCCTCTGTACATTCACAGAGGGCCAGCTATAGTAACTCAATGAGAGAGTAATGTCAAATGACAGTACAATTGACCAATCATATCTTCCCTCTAAATGGGTGGGCTTTATTTTCGCGGACTTTATGACAAGTTCCGCCCGCTGTGAGGTTTATGCATGTGTATAAAGTGGTGCAGTGACGCGTCCTAAAACCCGGAAGTAAGCTGCGCTCGGGTTCCCTCGACAGAAAAGCAATGGGATTTCTCATGGATGTAATAGCTCGGAATAAGGTCTGTGGAAAACGAACCTGTTAGATAAATGCACGTTTTGTTCAGCCGGATAATATCCACATGTCTACCCTACTTTTATTATTTTCGAAGCATAAATCTAATCGATAGATTTATGATCGATAGATTTATGATTAGCATAAGTTTGTTCATGTCAGTGATGGTTAATAATTTCGCAACGATGTCATCACTGAGTCATTTTCAAGATTGAGTTACAATGATGAATAACTCTTCTTTTTTTTCGAGGGAAGGGGGGGGGTCAGAGGGCCTAGGTATAAAAGTTACGGCTCGCCACTGGGAGAGAGTACATGTGTGAAGAAGCAGGAGAGAAAGCCTTTGAGCTCCATACTGTTTCAGAAATAATCCTTGATAATCCATGATATGACGTTTCATCACAGCAGTAACTGCCGGTAGAATCTCAAGCATGAGCAGGCATAAACTCCGCCCCCTCTCTTCTTCTTTTTTAAAGCTTTATACCTATGCTTTATACCCAGAATCAGCACTTTTGTAACAGGAAGTGAAATAGAGGGATATGAGGCATGGCTAAAATGGGTGATCTGTTTGGTATTTTGAGCAAAACACTTCATAGACATGTTTTTTATATATTTTTATGGTAACACTTTATATTAAGGTACACAAATTCACCATCAATTAGTTGTTAATTAACATGCATATTAGCAGTATATTGGCTCTTTATCAGTCATTATAAAACACTTATTAATGCCTTATTCTACATGACCGTATTCTACAAGTAATAAGCCATTAGTTGAGAGTTTTTCCTCAATAACCCTCTAATTAGTGCTTATTTATTGCAAGTAAGGAAGTTGTTTTGGTCTTAATATGCGCTGCTCAATATGGGCCTAATAAGGCAGTAGTATCACAAGAATAGTAATTCTCCCATAATAACACTTAACAAATATGATCTATTCTTATGTAACAAGACATGAAACTATAAGTGTTAATTGTGTCTAAATAACTCAAAATTAAGTATTTATATCTAAGAATATGTTTTGGGGTATTGACAGTTCAGCTACCAATAGCTATTTGCACATTTATATTTGTGTAAATTGTGTACTACAGGAAACCGGGTACAGGAAGTAGGAGAAAGTAAACTGAATAGCATGGCAGTTAGACTACTACTAATTTTCCCTATGCAACCTGAATAGTAAAAGGGTCAAGTCTGTCAGAAATGACTGTAAGTGTAATTCTCACTGTAAGGATTAGTAACATGTATTGTGTTTATGTGATGACATTTGGAGATGTTTAAACTCAATGAGAAAATGTGTTAGCATTCGCGCTAGTGTTAGCATACACGCTAGCGTTAGCCATACTAGCCTGTATACATGCTTATTGCACAGCTAGCATTAGCTATATTTACCTTGTTTACACTTAGCGGTCCTATGTGTTAATCTGTGTATGTTACACTTGCATGTATGAGATCATTCAGTGCCTTGTAACTTATTACACATACAAATACATAAACTCTGTTAAAAATCTGTTTTTATAAAAAATTAGGCCTACAGGCTGCATATGTGTTCTCAGCCTTGGAGAAACTTGACATGTTTTGGTATGTGTCTGAACCTCTCTTTAGTGGTTCATTAACGTGTGCCTACTTTGTTCATGTACTGTTGAGGTTAATTTCAGTAGTTGTGTGCTATAATGTATTTACAAAGTAGAGTCAAACTACTAGCTTATTGGTTATGAACAAGACTTCACTTTAAAATAGGGAACATATTCTTAGATAGAAATACCTAATTTTGAGTTATTTAGACTTAATTAACACTTATAGTTTCATGTCTTGTTGCATAAGAATAGATCATATTTGTTAAGTGTTATTATGGGAGAATTACTACTCTTGTGGTACTACTGCCTTATTAGGCCCATATTGAGCAGCGCATATTAAGACCAAAACTCATGTACAACAACTTCCTTACTTGCAATAAATAAGCACTAATTAGAGGGTTATTGAGGAAAAACTCTCAACTAATGGCTTATTACTTGTAGAATACGGTCATGTAGAACAAGGTATTAAGTGTTTTATAATGACTAATAAAGAGCCAATATACTGCTAATATGCATGTTAATTAACAACTAGTTGATGGTGAATTTGTGTACCTTAATATAAAGTGTTACCATTTTTATATACCTGAGACCTATGCTATTGCCTAAAAATAGCATGATAGGTGACCTTTAAATATTTAAAATGTTATGACCTCAACTTTAAAATACTTTCTTTTTTGCTTAAGTAAAGAAAGTACTCGTATATACTTTCCCAGAGTGGAGCAATGATCTTTTTAAAAAGAAAAAAATGTATACGATTTGAAATTAAATGAAAAATAGTAGGGAACTCCTGAAGGCCGACAGGCCTGCTTGTATAGTAAGAATACATTTTTTATTTATTTTTTATTTAAAAGTTAAATTGTTCTCTGAAGTAAATTAAAATGACTTAAACGTCTGACCTGACGATTGAGATATCCTCTTGCTAAGAACTATAATTGACAGCATTCCCAGATGTTTTAGTAGCATGTGAATTCAGTTCTATTTTTATAATAGAAACAATGACTATTCAAAAACGTACATATTGTCTTCTAGATTCACACTGAAAAACGTCCAAATCGAAGATGTGTGTGTGAGGCTGTAGTGTGCATTGTGTGTGCTTTGTGTTTGTGGTTCTGATGCGTAAAACCATCATGTGTAAATATGTGTAAATTGGGCTGGTATAGAAATGGGATATATGAGAGGGATCGGGTGGCTGATCTCTGTGTCTCTGTGAGGAATATATTACTCTTTTATTTACTGTTTTGGATTCCAGCTCATGGGCTCACTTATCTCTGTATGTCGCACACACACACATCCTGAACCCTATCTTACTCACAGTCCCCACTGTCTTCATTAGATCCTTTGAAGCAATAACACCTATACAAAAATAAATCCTTAATTTCCACCCTGATATCGATTCATACACCAACTGCACTTCTCCACCTCTGTGGTGGGTATCTATCCTCCAACAGCTACACCTAGCTGCTGTTTCTGTCACTTCCAGACTCTCTTCCCTGGTTCAGCCTGTCTCAGTGTCGGAGGACGTCTATATCCAACCCCCTAAAACAGACAGTAAACGGATCTTGGATATCATATGCCCACTTCACACTTTTCCATAATTCCTGGAATGTTATTAGTTCATTAAATGTTAGCAGTTGTTAAAAACCTCACAGTAAAAGTCACAGCATGTGTCCTGGCATCGTGTTACTCGGACTCAGTTACTCTGCTTACATGGTGACAAAACTGCAGCACCACCAAAAAAGGGAAGTAAGACCATTTTGCCTCAGTAACGACTTGCAGGATCACTAATGATAAGTGAGATCAATGATGTGTGAATCGTCAAAACTCAGGACATAAGGAGGCTCTGAAAATAAAGGGTTGTGTTGCACGTACTTGAATACATTTTGTCAGGACTTGTGTGTGTTATGCATTTTAAGTCTGTTTTTTTTATGAAGCAGCATTAATATCTCATAAAAACAAAGCTTAAATGTCACATCATTTATATTGCAAAAGAAAGATGTCCCTTAGCTGCAATAGAATGGTACAGGAATGAGACTTTAACCAGTTGTATATAACTTCCGAGCTCCCTTTTCTTGAAGTCAATGTTTTTTTAATGAGTTCTTGTTTTGATTTCCGATATAATGTCTGTGAGGAAATACTCCACTGGTGAACGTCTTAAGCTTTTACTTGAATGAGACTACTAAACTTCATCAATCCGGACACAAATCGGCCATTAGCTTAGCTGTTTGGCGTTGTCATGGTGCAATCATATTGATTTATAGTGTTACTTCTGGCGATTTATTTTAAGATTCAACTACTATAAAAGTGGTGTCAAGATTATCTTGCTGAACAACAAATAGGTATTATTGATGTATGTTTGACACTAATGGAAAATGTCCATTGCTTTGAGTGCAGGGAGCCCTTGCTATGCTTACTTCCAGGTTAGCAAACAGAAATACTTCATTACTGCAGCACTTTATAGAGGTTCTCACATTCACTTAAAACAGAATGAGCCATGTTCAGATGTTTTCTTAATTGCTACCTGCTTGCTGGCATCAAAAAGGGAAACCATTGTGAAAAGATGAGAGGTAGAATCACGTAGTTATTTCCCACAAGGGGCAGCAAATAACAATTATTTTACCAATCATTATTATGCTTATTATTTTCTTGATGAATCAATTAATTGTTAAGGCAGAATGTGTGTTTCTGACCTCCAGTAGCGTGGTCTTCTCGTACTCTCTGCGGTGCCGGTAGATGCTCTGGCTGAGGAGGGAGTAGAGTCTCTCCAGCTGCTCCACGCTGTATCCTTCACTCTTCTTCACCACCATATCCAGCAGAGCCTGAGAGGAGAGACACACAAACAGACATTACAAATAAAGTCTGAGAGACAGTGTTTACTTTACATTATTTCTGAAACATGGCTATGGAGAACAACACGGTGCTAAATAACCGGCCACACAAGCTTAGCGCCGATGTTGGTGCGTGGACATTTTGGAGGTCAGCTCTATTCAAAAGCAATTAAGTTCAGACTGACGGCTAATTTGGGCTAATCATAATTAGAACCAAGTTTACATTTCACTGCTACTTTAATTAAAACATTGTGGACAGTCAACGGCCCTTTTAATCGACCCGTTTCTCACATTGCACCCAGTCCGTGTGTGTGTGTGTGTGTGTGTGTGTGTGTGTGTGTGTGTGTGTGTGTGTGTGTGTGTGTGTGTGTGTGTGTGTGTGTGTGTGTGTGTGTGTTTAAACACAGGCCTCATCAGAATGCAGGGACTGACACAGGAAAGACACAATAATTAAAGGTAGCGTCACTGACACAAGGCAAACAGAGTAACCTCAGACGGAATTAAATGCTACGTGTTTTAGAGAGAGAGACAGTGACCATAGAGTTAAACATAAAACCGCGGCAATGTCAATATTAATATGACGTGGATGTTTGTTTAAGCCTCTAATCAGCGGACGTCTGAGAGGGCCATAGGACGTCTAATTACAGTGAGCAGAAGCAAAATGACAGAGGCAAAAAGGTTAGCATTGTATTAATCACTGTACTCCATCTGACTAAGAGTTCTGTTTAAATGACAGACTACAGCTTCACGTCAACACACATGTTAGTATAAACTGAATCCCAAGACGCACTTAAGTTATAAGAACAAATTTGACCTTCAGAGCAACGCTTCACTTTTGAAGGATTTTTTACTTTTCAGAGAAAACATTCTTCATTGAGTTACAGAAAAGGAATTTCAAACATCTTTAGATAAGGGGGTTGCTAATGTGATCAGAACATTATCCTGCTGTACTAAACAAATAACGTCTATGTATGTTTGCCTCGGATCATATTTTCTGCGGTACTGCAACAAAAACTTTAATAGAAACTGAATCCCAAGACTCACTTAACTTATAACCGCAAATTTGACCTTTAGAGCATTACTTAATTTTGTAAGGATGTTTTGATTTTTTCAGCAATAACACTTCTAATGGAGTTAGGGGAAAGGGAATTACAAACATCAGCTGCCCTTTAGCTGTTGAGTCATTTCCCAAAGCTGGAGTAGTATACTTCAAAAAGATTTTCTTAAAAGTGTGACAGCTAAAAACAAGATACATAAAACGTCCACAACACCATGTACAATAGACTTCTGTGGCTCAGGAGGTGGATGGTTGTCTGAATTTAAATGTCTGTAGTTCCATCACCAGCAGTCAACATGTCAATGTGTCCTTGGGCAAGATACTTAATCCCATTGGTGTGTGAATGTGTGTGAAGGTAGGTCTCCCTGAGCAGATGTAGTATGGCAGCCTCTGTATGAAGGTGTGTGAATGGGCTAATGCTGACTTGTATATTTAAAAGCACTCCGAGGGGGTCGTAAAGACTGAAAGTATATATATATATATATATATATATATATATATATATATATATATATATATATATATATATATATATATATATATATATATATATACACATATATATATATATATATATATACACATATATATACACATATATATACACATATATACTTTCTATACACACTCCCCCCCTGCCTGAAGCGCCTCGATTAGAATCCTATGTTTGCTAGGTGGCGTACATCTCAGACACATCTCTAAGCGGTTGACCTACACAACAGAGTCGATCAGCTAACCAATCAGAGCAGACTGGGCTCTGGTTTCAGACAGAGGGTGAAAAGAGGTGCTGCAGCACAGGCAGTATGAGAAAAATAAAGAGCTTTTTGAACATTTAAGCATGTGAACATGTCACAGTAGAGGAAGAAAATACAAATATGTACCTGGAATTAGCATAATAGGCCCCCTTTAAGAAAACTTTATTAAGCAACAAGGAAGTCTCCAAGGACGATCGTCGAGCCAAGCTGTGGCTACTGTTGCATTACTCTTCTTTCATCTCCCCCACAACAATGCTGACAGGAAAAGTAATGGCCGACAGGAGAGATTATTAGTGCTTGTCAGAGGCCTGCACTGTTATGGATGTTTTTTTATTTTAGGTTTTGTATTTGCATCCGAGTAACCCATTACAACCCTGTAAATATTATTGTGCCCAACAATGAACCCAACAATATTAAGAGTGAGAAATGACACCTTCTACAGGATTAGACGCATAGTAGCTGTTTAACTCTAAGGGCCATAAACACATTCTCAACACTTATTTATGATGCCATTACCTACATAAATGTTTTAACAAGAGTAAATAGGCTTACCTTTAAACAAAGCAAATGAGAACAAAAAGGAAAACTTTTCAAATCTCTTGCAAGTTAGCAAACTTTCTGTCGTAGGTGCTTATCATACTGAACTCAAGAGCCCAGAAACACGGCTTGTAATTGAGTAGGTACTGTAATACCTTTTCAAATATTCACAGTTCCATAACTTAATCTGGCTGTGTAGGAGGATTCACAGGTAATATGCCTTTGACATTAAAAAAAAACCCTCCGCCTGGCCCATCTAATAAATGTAGGTCCCTTGACAAATAAAATGTGCATACAGAAGCTGAGAACACCGAGCATCTCTTATATCTGAATTGATAATGATCATCTCAGCTGCTTTCAAAAAGCGCTGTCCGCTGCTCTATATCGAGCATTTATTTATTGGATTCTTTTTGTGCTTTTCATACAACCATGCAACTCTGGTCTTTCTTCAAGGCGGCTATCAGGTTTCAAGCCAGCCATGAGAGCTCATAAAAAGAGGAGCGAATAGAGCACATCACGATGAGATGCCTATTATAACAACACGTGCATAAAAGCTTTAATTAGCATCATTAAAACCCATCTCACATTGTGAGAAGTGTCTTACAGGAACATTATTTCACATCTTTCCTTTCATCCAACTGACACTTCATTTCTTTATATTTTTCATTTTGTAACCCATCTCTTGCTTTAAGTGCATTTCACCACTTTCTTTATAGCAAACCTTCTATTTTTGTTTTAAGTGCATCGTCTCACCTCCTGCCTCCTTCAATGTTTTATTCACCTTATGTCTTCTTTACCCAGCACTTTAGCTCCTTTTTCTTCCAATGTGTTTATCTTTCCGTACTTTTCTTGTTCCTGTATTTTTCTTCGTTCTGTCCTCTCTCTTTGTCCTCTCAATTTATTCTCTTCTTTACCGTCAGACCGGCTGATTGCGGCGGTGTACTTCCCCCAGCCTCCGTCAGCCTGATCAGGATGGCTGTGACAGTGTGGGGTAAATGGTGAGAGTGTGTCTTACACGGCCTCCGTGATTGAGTGAGCTCACTGCACACAAAGGGGCAGTAATCCCATGCGTTAAAGACTGCTACTGACATGGACCATTTAACCTCACCCCTCTAAACTCCCTGTCCCATCTTCCCCCTCCCAACGTCCCTTTCTTTAGCCTCATCTCTATCTATCCCCACGTTTGTTCAGATGGCAAACAAAGCAGAATGATGGTATTTGGAGTTTTACAAGAACCACTATTATGCCTGTGAAAATAGGATTTGATCTTAAAGAGAGTTTAACTTCCAGGATTTATCATAGCACAAGAGATGTAATACTGGGTTTATGCTCATGAATGATAATTTGTGCGGAATTCTAACCAGACAATTGCACTATTAAAATGCATTAACCAAAATAAAAATGCAAAACAACACACCCACTCACTACATTCTCATTATTAGTGAGAAATACACATGGAACAATACAGAAGGGATGTTTTAGAGACTGGGCACCATCACACTTCTTCACACCATGTTACAGCTCTGCTACTTAAACCCTGGCCTATGGACCAGATGAAATGTCAATTCTAGTCACACCATCACCCCTCCTGCACAGGCGTGCCTATATTTCTCATATTTCTTGTGACCTCCAGGCCAGGTTAGGATTACTTGCAGATAATAAAACCACTCCTGCTCTAACCTACTTCATTTCCCAAACTACTTATGCCGCCGTTCTGACACCAGAATGTCAAATTTGAACCCTGTGTCTCGATTCGTTATGGCAAGGTCGAGAAACTTCAGCATCACTCTACATGAGCTCCTTCTGTGTAATACAGAACATATATTAATACATGTATAAATGTGGGGGGTGATCTCACGACCAGCAGTCAGAGAATGCAAGAGTTTCCATTGGTGTCGAGTTGCTCCTCAAAACATAATTAGTAAAATATTGTATTTATCTCACCCCAATGTCTTAAATTCTGCCAGAAAGAAAAGAAAAACTAATACTGCTATTATGTGAACGCAATATTTTGATGGTATTATAGTTATGTGTTAATAAGGTTTGAAATTAAAGTTTTCAAACCAAAACAATTGAGGTAACTGTAATACAGTGGAGTTTCTCCCTCTTTGATCATGGAAGGATGTGCTAGTAGCTGCGTTAGAGAGAGAGTGTGTGTGTGTGTGTGTGTGTGTGTGTGTGTGTGTGTGTGTGTGTGTGTGTGTGTGTGTGTGTGTGTGTGTGTGTGTGAAGAGCTTTCCTCAGTAGTGAGTGAGAGAAAAAGGCAGTGAGGGGAAAAAAACAAGGATTTGAAGCCCTACGTTCACTGTCACCAGGGACACTATTAAGCCTTCAATGTCTGCCTCAGAGAGAACAATTCACCCCCGTCTTCCTTTCCTAACTTTGATTTATTTTCTTCTTTAACACGAGTAAAAAAAAGATTTATAAATGATTCTGGTTTGCTCATTACCATGAATGCCACAAATGTGGGCAGTGAGATGTGGCATTTGGATTTGCTGAGGAAGACGTTGCAGCGGCAGATAATGTGGCTTACAGGGCACTCGGTCACACAGGTAATGCAATATAGATAGTGTCATGAGGGTCAGGGACCGTCATGACAAATCATATTACCATGGTCTCAGCACATTAAGATGAAATGGTCA